ACATCCCTCATGCATTAAGTAGAAATAACTGATTACATATGTTTTCTGTTAATAAACCAGTACTCCCTTCAGCTAATACTTACGATGGTTTTGCAGGCACACTGTAAGCCGTGGAGTTCCCGTGGTGCATGCTGGAGCCGGAACCGCGAAAGCGCCTTTTGTGCAGCTGCTTCTTGGATGAGTAAATAAGATAACTGTCTTGTGGTCAAACATCCTTTCCTGCCTCCAAACAACAACAAAGGACGTTATGTTAAACCCAACAAACCTGTAACATGCATGCCTTGTGCAAACGGTGGTGAACGAGTCTTGAAATATATCCTGTCTTCGTAGACGTAAGGTACAGAGTATTCTCGAAACTTGACATCATCATGTAACGGTCTGTCTGGCGTGGAGAATATATCAGTCTCAGATGCCACAATGTCAGAACACAATCTTCACACACTGTACACAACATGCGTACGGAATCTCGACGCTGTGAGTGGACAACAGACTGGACAGTCTGTGGACTGTAGCTGTCGCGAGTTGAAGTCAGATGGAGACCGCAAATGTAAGGATTGTTCTGAAGTCCCTTGTAAACCGTGTCGGAAAGGGGCATATTCATCCACTAGGACATCTTCTAACACAGATGTTCCCAACAGACACACAGAAGGGATACCTCGTGAGAGAGGACCATGCTGTGTGTCTGTCCAGTGTCTTGACCATCCTGGTTCTATATACACACACGTGTGTGAGACGTGCATGGTTCCTGCATGTGCTGAGTGTGTCAGCGTTCACCACTCGGATAACACTTGTACTGTTCATCCTCTCCAGAGAGCACTGACAATATGGGAAACCAATCTTCAAGAGTCGACGATCAACATGGGCAGTATTTTGTCATCTTTATCTTCATCAATTGCCCGCCTAGACCTAACAAAATCATTCCTTGTTAAGAAACGTGACCAGGCAATTCAACACCTTCATCAAAAAGCGAAATCACTTGTTGAACAGATATTGACTGAGGAAACAAAATGTGCAAAGAAGTTGAACGATCTTTATAATGTTCAGATTGACTCTGCTGAAGTAGAGTCAAAAGACATGAAAGATAACCAATGTGCTGTCATGGACCTGAAACGTTTGTCTGAAGAGGTCCTGGAAACGGGTAACAGTGTTCACGTAACTATTTTATCAAAGGCTTTAGCGAGTTGTAAGAAAGAACTTCAATCCATTAAATTAATACCACCTTCGAAGGAAAGTAAAATCTATACAGTTGAGTGTAACCTTCTCGAAAAGGAATCAATGTTTCTACTATCCGAGACGACAATGCCCAATGCTGATTCTATGTGTTCGAATGATACCCAAGGTGAAATAAAGCAATTGGACAACCATGATGACGATGTTGCTAGCTACTCCGACGTGTCTTCGGAAGAGACAATGGATTCCTCCTGTTATGAAGAAGTCAGTCTGACTGCATCCATAGCCTTCATAGGAGATTTAGGGAGAGCCTACCGGAAACAGAAATATGGTATAATCTTGAAGGAAAGTGGAAGAATCGAGTACAGTGAGGCACCCGATGAAGATGTCACTGGTGATCCTGTTCCTGAAGTGGACAGCAAGACGATTGCCGATGTACCAACATGGCCGTCGTATGAATACGGTATGGTCAGATCAACTCGCCATAACCTACGCTTTGATCACGTAGGTCTATACTCGCCCAATGGAGACAGTGTCGCATCTGCCCAACCATATCAAAATGCCACACATCCAAGCATCTGTCCACCTTGTGCTCTGACAGTGTCCTTGAAACCGCATCAGACGATATGCATCTCCAATGCTGAGAGTCAAGGCAGAACAGATGTGAGTGCTATGGCGGTTGGTGTAAATCAGATGCTTGTCGTTGACCGAGGAAGCAGGACAGTGAAACAGATTGACAAAAGCTTCAAAGTCAAGAACACATTGTACAACGATGAGCTCTTAACACACCCCTTTCACTCACTGGCAATCATAAACAGCTATATTGTGTTTGTGTGTGGAGTGAACGCGTGTGTAACTGACGAAAATCTGACTCTACTGAGACACTTCCAGCTCCTACAGGATCAATATCAAGGAGAAACGTACCTTCCTCTATGCAAGTTCACTGATACATCCTTTGTCGTCGGCAACTTGCCAGGATCTCTTATTCGAATTTATGACATACGTGGACAGCTTGAAGCGGAAGCCGTGTCTCCAGTCCGGGGTGCCACTGTCACCATCATTCAGAACAACTGTGGTAACCTGCTATTCAGTTCCTGGGGGGAGGGTGGTCTTGTTCTGGAGGTCCAGAAGAACTTCCAACTCATCCGAACGTACAGACCCTTCGGCATACCCTTATGGCACCCCGAGGATATGAGCGTTGATGATGCTGGGAGGGTCTTCATCACAGACCCCATACTGAACCACATCTACGGTTTTAACTTTGCGGGGATTCCTCTGTTTGTGTACTCCACAACAAATGATGGGCTTATGTTACCGAGGTGCATTTTTGTTGTGAAAGGTGACTCGTGTGTTGTATCCGGACACAATGGGAATATAATATTATACAAGTTGATCTACCTTCAGCCGGGCTAAGACTTGTCAGTCGCAAGGCAAACGAACTTGTTGGTAGATCGAACAGTGTAAGGATTTGTTTTGCTGTTATTTATTTCATTTGTTTTCTTTCGTTTTAATTTTTCGTGGGGGAATGAGCAGGCACAGTAGATGTTTAATGTCGCATTCAGTAACATTACTGCTATGCTGGACTACGTAGTCGAGTCTGGACCACACAAACCAATTACTGAATATTATGAGCTTTGTATGAGATCTCTAGGAACGATCCGGCACAATCAACAAAGTCACTGTGGATGCCTGCAATCCTTTCTCTTACATCAAGCAGAGTTTCCCTGGGGTCAGTTGTCACCCAGAATCCACACCTGCACTACATGCAGCTGTGTATGACTGGCTGACTGAGTTTTGGTTTTTACGCCTCTTTTAGCAATATTCCAGCAACATCACGGCAGGGAAGACCAGAAATGGGCTTCACTCGTTGCGTCCATACGAGGAATCGAACCCGGCCTTCGGCATGAGGAGCGGACGCTTCAACCACTAGGCTACACATTCACCCTTACTGAATATTAATTAAAGCTCCCTGGTGTGAGTTACCGATGTGTATGTTTACGGGTAATAAAGTAATCAATAGAAGTAACTGCAAATGTTTAAAAGCGAGTCCGATATAAATATGACTATGATTCTGTAATATCTTGTGGAACCCGTGAAGGTCCGGGATAGAATATTGATCTTCAGTAACCCATGCTTGTCGTAAGAGGCGACTAACGGGATCGGGTGATCAGGTTCGCTGACTTGGTTGACACATGTTATCGGTTCCCAATTGCGCAGATCGATGTTCATGCTGTTAATCTGTTCCAGACTGGATTGTATGGTCCAGACTCGATTATTTACAGACCGCCGCCATGTAGCTGGAATATTGCTGAATACGGCGGAAGACTAAACTCACTCACTCACTATAGCTTGTGGATAATTCAAACAAACAGCCTTCCACGTTTTGGTGTTCTTCAGTTTGCTTTGAGTCGTATATTTCCTGACAATATACTGTGGGGTTGGTGGGGTAGCCTAGTGGTTAAAGCGTCCGCTCATCACGCCGAAGACTCGGGTTCGAATCCCCATATGGGTACAACATGTGAACACCATTTCTGGTGTCCTCCGCCGTGATATTGCTGGAATATTGCTAAAAGCGGCGTAAAACCAAACATACTCACACTCACTCACTCACTCACACACTGTATATGTAAAAAAAACGTACTTCAGTCCCCGTAGCCAGCCAGTCATTTCCAAATAATTTCGATTTAAAAAATTTGATTCATTTCCACCAGTCAAACCCTGGACCGCCTCCGGGGCCTAGTGGATACAGCATCTCTCTGTAGTTCGATCCCCCTGGCACGTCATACCAAGAGACGTTACAAGATGGCACGTGTTGTTACCCCGCCTAGCGTTGTCCATTGACAGAAAAACAGGATTGGTTGTTAGGTGGTGCGTAAAAGTAAACAAAATAACAGAACTGTCATTCAATTACATCCCCGCCTCCCTCTAGATCCGCCCCTGTTCTTACATAACATGCGACGGAACAGAGTGCACTAAAACTCACGACTGAAAGGGAAATCCCGAATCTATATCGACATATTTTGTTCAACGGTACCCAGCGTTGCGATTACCCGCTCAAATAAACATTAACTAGCAGACGATAAACTACGAAAATACTTTGCAACAAAATCTGAAAACATCCAACATTCACACACATAAAAAAGGCAAAACATTGGATTGTCATTCTTTAGCGCAAGAAAAACAACCTTTGTTGGTTCGATCCTGTTTCTTCAAAAGGACAGTGCGATTGTATCTTCGAGTTACTTTGCAAACAGAGTGGCCTCCCTTGGAAAACAGGCGTCTGGAAGTGGCGAAGTTTTCGGAGATAATAATGGGTAAAGATCCTCTAGAATTTCTGTGCAAAATACATCTACATTGCAATATACGTTCTAAACACTCCCAAAATAGGAGGAGTTGCACCAATAATTGCGCTCAGGTGCAAATGCGGTTTGTTTACACCATTATTGCCATGTCGTGCTTCGATTTCAAACAATCACGACCGGTTTCGTTTAGCCGAGAGCCGCGATGCGGTCCTATACAGTCAAGACATGATGCAGGGTCATGTCTTGACTGTATCGGCTCTCGGCTAGGTTTCGTTTAGAGCAATGACGGGTGTTACCAAACAGCTAACACCTTATCCCGCACAGTTCCTGTTAAGCGATAATTTACTAACAAAGAACTGTTCAGTGTAATCATATTCACGGGCAAACGCCAGTATAAGTCCTGACGACAAAAGCTGTTGTAGTGATCGGTGCTTCCACACTCGTACATCGGGTAACATTGGATTGGCGATCTGATGCTGCCCGTATGTTTCCGGGTGTGATCGAGGCACGCGATCAACTTACCCTCCAAATCTGACAGGTGACAATTAACAGATCGAGACAAGACACTGACGAGAACAGACGCAAATTGCAGTACATTCAGAACCCTTGATCTCCCCATCATCTACGCTTACGAAGCAAGGTATGCGACTTTCCCTAGCACTAGGATTTCACAACACTGTATTATGCTGAGAGATATTTCATTTAGTCAAATTTTCTTCTTTGTTTTCACTCTTCTCTACTCATGTCGTGTCATGTCGGGCTATTCTGAGCAATCGCTGTGCAATACAAATTAAGTTGTGGCCGAAGTGTCATTGCTTCGATGGATTGTCGTTTGCTTTCATCCGTGTACAGAAGGTAAATAGATCTAACTCTAGTCCAGCATATAACTATACCTCTGCACTATACCAAGGTGTGCTCCACGTCTCTATGTAGGCCTTGGCTGGAATACGAGTTTATTCATATGAACTAATCTAACTCTTTCCTCGTTATTCTTAAATTTGTACATTGTGCAAAGTTCAGTAACAGGAACGACCAGGGAAAGAGTTCCTGGATAGAGAGGCCAGGCCCCCATTTCAGAAGCGATCACAGCCACAGGGGCTTGTAAGGCTAAAAACTGCCATCAAGGTTAAACTGTCACTGACGGGGTCTTAGTATTATATAATAGGAAAGGGATGTAACGAGGTCAACACACCAAGTTCATTTCAGGGCGATTTCAACAATTCTCACTGTATTTATCCCATTTAAACTATGCACACATTTCAAGCCAATAGATTTACCTACAAAATGAGACATACAGCACAAAAATCGAAGCAGTACCCTAGGAGCTAGGGTCTTCAGAAGCTCGAAATATCATAATTTCACGATTCCAAGCCAAAATCCCTGCTCAGAATTTGTAGCGGTAACTCACCCATTTTCTTGTTTATTTCACAGTATACACATACAACATTCACCAAAAATGTTGAACTGATGGCGCCTGTGAGCGCGCTAGTCGCCATTCTTTCGGAGACACTTACATCTAACGGTCATAATGAGTTTACGTACATTTATTCATCGCAAACAGAATGGTGTAGTGCCTGTTCGCCATCGACGACCTTGGCCTTAACCTGCCCACACTGAAAAAAGCAAGGGAGCTCATAGGCTAAAAGTAAAATATGTCCCATCACTGACTCTTCTCAGTTTTCATTATGTCACGAATGGCATGAGGAAGTCTGAATGGTGATAACTGTTACAGTTAGTTGTGAGGAAACATCTATTTATACTGCCCTGATTCCCTTCTGCTGCGTTATATAAAAACATGATCGGCGGCAGTGAACGGGCTGGACCCATCGATGAATAGCTAATTAAGTATCAAAATTAATTAATTTAACGAATGGCGTTAAGATAGAACATATATCAGAAGTATTACTATATAATATTATATGAAGAATATAATATCGAAGTTGACAAAAAAAAATGCATTTATGGAATTTTTTAAAATAAGTTGGGGCATTTTGAGTACCCCCGGGGGCAATTTGACCAAACATGTAGGGCATTTTGACCAAATTTGCTGGGGCATTTTGTAGCTGGGACAATTTGACTGGTACCCTTTTAAAATAAAACTCTCTTCTCCTCAGACAGATCATGGCTGATTAGTCATACCTATGGTAAATACTCTGCTTCTATGACTGTCATACATCCTAGTATGGTGGATACAGCTTGTGAGTTGAACTGGTCCAATTACCCCCGGCATAACAACTGAAACATGTGATTACCTGGTATGTGACGTATAACCAATGTGATGTGTGATTTTGTGACGTATAACCAATGTAATGTGTGATTTTGTGACCTATAACCAATGTGATGTGTGGTTATGTGATGTATGACCAATGAGACATGTGATTATGTGATGTATGACCAATGTGACATGTGATTATGTGATGTATGACCAATGTGACATGTGATTATGTGATGTATGACCAATGTGACATGTGGTTATGTGACATGTGACCAATGTGACATGTGGTTATGTGATGTATGACCAATGTGACATGTAGTTATGTGACGTATGACCAATGTGACATGTGGTTATGTGACATGACCAATGTGACATGTATGTGATGTATGACCAATGTGATGTATGACCAATGTGATGTGTGCTAATGGGACGTATGACCAATGTGATGTATGACCAATGTGATGTGTGGTTATGTGATGTGTGATTATGTGATGTATGACCAATGTGATGTATGACCAATGTGATGTGTGGTTATGTGACGATGACCAATGTGATATGTGGTTATGTGATGTATGACAAATGAGATGTGTGGTTATGTGACATATGACCAATGTGATGTATGATTATGTGACGTATGACCAATGTACTGTGTGATTATTTGACATATGACCAATGTACTGTGTGATTATTTGACATATGACCAATGTACTGTGTGGTTATGTGACGTATGACCAATGAGATGTGTGATTATGTGACGTATGACCAATGTAATGTATGATTATGGGACGTATGACCAATGTGATGTGTGGTTATGGGACGTATGACCAATGGGAGTAAACCTGTCACCAAACCAAAACTGTCACGAACAGGAATGTGCAAATTTGCACCCAATAGAGATATGACATTGACTTTGACACCTTTCATGACTGCTCAGATGATTACAAACAGTGTGTTGACCATTTTTAGAAATAATGTTGCTTAAAGTGCCGTTTCAAGTGACTTGCAAAGTCTATAATAATGCGGAGCCCACCATCATGATCATATTAGGGAAGCAAATGCTTCTACTTTTATTTGTGCCGCATAGAAATGGTTGTTTGCAATGCTGCAATTTGCTCTGTGGACATGTTATAAATGGAGTCATTTGTTGCAAGCCATTATTGGGTGTATAATTGAGCTGATACATAAGCACACAAACCCATTTCATATATTCTTAAGTGGTTCAGTTATCAGGCATTATTTTGTTCGCTCATACTTTCTGTAAAGATCCCAAGTAATAAAAATTGTCGCACAGTGCTTTCATTGGTGTAATATTAAAAGCAGGGGAAATTTACTGTTTTTCACACATAACAAAATTTCAGTCGAACTTTAGCAGTGTGTATTTTTCAAACCAACCAAGTATTTGGACTTGAGTTTACACCATTGGATATGAAATTTAATATCTACATTTCTGTGTAATTTTGTAGCCGTAGGTAGATCTCACCCAGCGTTCACTTTTCAGATTTTATAAAAATTTGCTCCAGAAAAAAAATCTTGGCATCCAGAGGGTTAAACCCAACTTACTGAATCCTTAATGCCATACAGTAGTGATGAAGATATTTAGGTTCTGGTATATGAACTATATAGTGGTGGTCTGTAAATAATCAAGACTGGATTTTCTGGTCCAGACTCAATTATTTACAGACTGCTGCCATATTGCTGGAATATCACTAGGGCTGCGCAATATAACCGGTTTACCGGTATTAACCGGTTCAGACATGAAAACGATACGTATTGCGATACGCTGATCGAAAACCGGTATTTTGACATGCATTCGGAAAACGTCGTAACAGTCGGAAATCTTCGGATATTTCTTTTTTTTAATTGTTCTTTTCCCTGTTTCATTAGTGCCAAATGTTACTTACATTTTTATTTTGTCATGATTAAAAGTTTTTATAAAAGGTTAATCAATCATAGTGATTTTGTTGTGTTTTTGCTTTATAATCAAGCATTAACTCGATTATAAGTAGTTTTTGTTAAAAAAATAATCCTTGCAATATATTGCACTACATATCGCAATATATGCTTCCGCATCGCAATATATCGCAATATGAAAATTCTCTGCAATACCCACCACTAAATATCACTGAGTGCGGCTTTAAAGAACAACCAGGGGCGGTGAGGTAGCCTAATGGTTAAAGCGTTGGCTCATCACGCCGAAGACCCGGGTTCGAATCCCCACATGGGCACAATGTGTGAAGCCCATTTCTGGTGTCCCCCGCCGTGATGTTGCTGGAATATTGCTAAAAGCGGCGTAAAACCAAACTCAGTCAGTCAGTCAGTAAAAGAACATCCAACCAACCAACTGTATGAGTTGGAATGTAAACCAGACTGCACCTGTTTGACAATTGTATTAATCAGGCATTGTGGTGTGGTCCCTAATTTAGATTAACAAATTCATTCATGAGCTTAAATTTATGCACTCTCCATACTTAGCTTGCAGATCATAAGCTGGATTATCCATTAATCCAAACTGTGAGAATTAATATAGTGATATAAAGGTTGAATGAGCTTAAAGGGGCACTGATCTCAGGCAATTTGCCATGACTGGTTGATGCTTTTGTTCTTGGGCTTGTTTCTCCCTACATAACCAGATGATAGCCCAGAAATCCTGACTGGTTCGCAGTCTATGATACACCAGCCGTAAGTGCATTTGAAAGTCTAAGGACTGTGCTCACATCAATTTGTTTGATCAACAAAGTTGAAATACACTTTCCTCTTGATAAGTAACTTGACCTGTAAAGATCCAGGTTAAAATTTGTCTTCAGCGACCAATGCTTGTGGTCAGCGGCAACTAATGGGATCAGGTTATCATTCTCGCTGATTTGGTTCACATTTGTCATCGTATCCCATTTGCATAGAGGGATGCTCATGGCGTTGATCACTGGATTGTCTGGTCCAGACTTGAGTATTTACAGACCATTGCCATATAGCTGGAATATTGCTGAGTGTGGCGTAAAACTAAACGCACTCACTGCCCAATTGACTAGATCGATGCTCATGCTGTTGATCACTGTTTGCTCATGGGTTTGTTGGAGCTGGCCTCGTTTGCAGACTTAACAACTTTAATTGGTTGGAAACTAACACTGCAGGTATTTGTTATAGGACGTCCACAGTACATAAATACCATGAAAACTTCTCCTTAGAACTGACGTTACTGTTAAAAGTTAATTCTTTTCCAAATTCTTGTCCCCAGTTCAAATAATACCATACACTGTTATTTCATTGTGTCTGTGATCAAGCTTACTGACATCTGTTGCAGCTTGACTTAGTGAGAACGACAGAAGGGTTTGAAGATGGCGACACCCAGCAGTCCACCAGAACAAGGGGCTGCGTTTGACTAGGTTAGTGCTTATAGGTTTTGTAGATAGTCAACTACCGACTCACCAGTCTCTCAATGACTCACCAGTCTATCAATGACTCACCAGTCTCTCACCGACTCACCAGTCTATCAATGACTCACCTGTCTATCAATGACTCTGTCAATGACTCACCAGTCTATCAATGACTCACCTGTGTATCAATGACTCACCAGTCTATCAATGACTCACCTGTCTATCAATGACACACCAGTCTCGCAATGACTCACCAGTCTCTCACCGACTCACCAGTCTCTCAATGACTCACCTGTCTATCAATGACTCACCAGTCTACCAAGTCTCTCAATGACTCACCTGTCTATCAATGACTCACCAGTCTACCCATGACTCACCAGTCTCTCAATGACTCACCTGCTCTCAATGACTCACCAGTCTCTCAATGACTCACCAGTCTCTCAGTGACTCACCAGTCTCTCAATGACTCACCAGTGACTCACCAGTCTCTCAATGACTCACCAGTTTCGCAATGACTCACCAGTCTCTCAATGACTCACCTGTCTATCAATGACTCACCAGTCTACCAAATCTCTCAATGACACACCAGTCTCTCAATGACTCACCCGTCTCTCAATGACTCACCAGTCTCTCAATGACTCACCAGTCTATCAATGACTCACCAGTCGCTCAATGACTCACCTGTCTCTCAATGACTCATCAACTCAATACTTTCTCACCGACTCACCAGTCTCTCAATAACTCACCAGTCTATCAATGACTCACCAGTCTCTCAATGACTCACCAGTCTCTCAATGACTCACCAGTCTCTCACCAGTCTCTCAATGACTCACCAGTCTCTCAATAACTCACCAGTCTATCAATGACTCACCAGTCTTTCAATAACTCACCAGTCTCTCAATGACTCACCAGTCTCTCAATGACTCACCAGTCTCTCAATAACTCACCAGTCTATCAATGACTCACCAGTCTCTCAATGACTCACCAGTCTCTCAATGACTCACCTGTCTCTCAATGACTCAACTCAATACTTTCTCACCGACTCACCAGTCTCTCAATAACTCACCCGTCTCTCAATGACTCACCAGTCTCTCAATGACTCACCAGTCTCTCAATGACTCACCAGTCTCTCAATGACTCAACTCAATACTTTCTCACCGACTCACCAGTCTCTCAGTAACTCACCAGTCTCTCAATGACTCACCAGTCTCTCAATGACTCACCAGTCTCTCAATGACTCACCAGTCTCTCAATGACTCACCTGTCTCTCAATGACTCATCAACTCAATACTTTCTCACTGACTCACCAGTCTCTCAATAACTCACCAGTCTCTCAATGACTTACGAGTCTCTCAATGACTCAACTGTCTCTCAATGACTCATCAACTCAATACTTTCTCACCGACTCACCAGTCTCTCAATAACTCACCAGTCTCTCAATGACTTACGAGTCTCTCAATGACTCACCTGTCTCTCAATGACTCATCAACTCAATACTTTCTCACTGACTGACCAGTCTCTCAATAACTCACCAGTCTCTCAATGACTCACCAGTCTCTCAATGACTCACCAGTCTCTCAATGACTCATCAACTCAATACTTTCTCACTGACTGACCAGTCTCTCAATGACTCACCAGTCTCTCTAGTGTTGGGAATCGGAAACCAAATCCACTATCAATTATTGGAGGATCGTGGTGAATGATTATCGATTACAATCTAAATATATACATTTTTTTTCTAATTAAGGTGTTTTTTTTATGACTAATGCTGTCATGCAATGAATGCATGCATGGAAGAAAGACACTGGAATTGTAATTAAACATTAAAAGTGGTTAAAAATTTACGATGCACTTAGCTTTACACTGTTGAGCGCAAGTTTGTTCGTGAATATTCGTCAAATTTAATGGTTAGTTTACTGCATTCAAGGGTGTTATATAGTGTTGGGAATTGGTTCAAATCTCATAATTGATGATTGGTTCATTACAACCGATCAATCATCGAACTTAATTGGTTAGCGTCTTTTATGAAATTTGTTAATGTACAAAAAAATAATGAAAAAAACATGTAGTTCTTTTGGATTTGGGGGCAAAATTCCACATCTTTAAAGAATGACTAGTATGTTAGGAACATAAATTTCTTAAAATCTTTAAGATAAATTCAATCATGACTTGGAACGACCTTGTAGTGCTTATGAAATGTAACAGACAAAACCAACTTAGTGAAAAATACTGTTAATGAAAAAAAGTGTTCCAGAATTGTTTGTGTTCGATTTTGAGAAAACATGATCGATTGCTTGGTCATTTAGTCACTGCGACCAATCTTCGATTTTTTCAATTAATCAGACCACCACTAGTGTTATAAAAAAACAACAAAATTCTGATTCATCAAAAATATGTTTTTTACAATCGATAATCATTTTTAATCCTTCTTTCGATCGATTTTCGATTATTTTCGATCATCGGAACATCACTAAGTTTCTCAATGACTCACCAACTTAATACTCTCTCACTGACTCACTAACTCACTGACTCACCTCCTCCAACTGACTGCCCCACCTGTCAGGTATTTTGAAATATTGATCCATCAAATGTGCAATGCGGAAATCAGAGTACTGAATTCGCCTAAGCTTGCTCTCTTGCACGGCTGGACTGCTATCGTAAGATCGAATGGGTAAGTAATAAAACACCTTGCTGTATGTGATGGATGTTCTGATGTGTGTTTTGACAGTGATCTTCAAGGACAAAGTTGTGAAGGGCGAGAAACTTGGTGAGATCAAGGTGATGCTGGACGGACTCCAGAAATCGGATCCTGCTCACGCTAGCTACGACAAAGAAACCAGGTTCAATTTTTGTCATTGTTTTTCTTGTATCTTGTTCATGTAAGTACATTCTGTAAATTCGTATTTATCGCACCGGTCCACAAAGCGTTCGTAGCGCTACGACATTCGTAAGCCTATGATGAACTATACAACAGGTTGTAATGTTACGAAGGCTTTATAGATCGGGGCCCCGCTATGTTCACTGTATCTGTGAATATTCATAAAAATAATTGTAAACATGTAAAGTGTATTTACTTATTGTGATCTTCAGTAACCCATGCTTGTCGTAAAAGGCGACTATACTTGTCGTAAGAGGCGACTAACGGGATGGGGTGGTCAGGCTCGCTGACTTGGTTGACACATGTCATCGGTTCCCAGTTGCACAGATCGATGCTCATGCTGTTGATCACTGGATTGTCTGGTCCAGACTTGAATATTGCTGAGTGCGGCGTAAAACTAAACTCACTCACTCACTACTTATTGTGAATGTACACAGTGTGTGGGTGCTCTATTTTTGTAAAGTGATTTGAGCACAATACAGTGATCTGTGTTTGTTCCTCAAAACAAGTCCAGAAAAACCAGGGCCCACTTGCACAAAGAGATCTTAGCTCTACAATGTTCGTAAGTCCCATACTCTTACGTAGACTAACAATGGTCTTGGCTCTAAGATTGCTGCATGTAAGATGTCGCAGCAATGACAGATCAACTGTAGTTTATGAAAACCTGGGTGTTCTTTCACCTTTTTATAGTCGTATGTATTGTATACCTGGGTACCCGGTGAAAACGAAAACAAACTAAAAAGCAGTTATGTTACAGGGCTCCAGATAATTATTTTGACTCAGGAATATTTCAATTTATTACCCACGTGGTCAACGTATGGGTAGTTGCATAGTAATCTCGTACGTCACACGAGTGTCGTATCGCGAGATTCTAACGATTTGATTGGATAACCGATGACCTCTCACTCTCAGTTAGGTCACGTTGTGACGGAACTACTTATTCATTCATAACAAACACGTGAATTCATTCATTCTACAACTTAGATGCATTCTGGGAATGTAAACATTGCGAACGTTGCCGTGTCGCTGTTTAATTGTGAGTCGAACTGAGATATTATATCCGTCAAAAAACATAAACGCAATGTTTCCACCAGTGATGTTAGCCGAGTGAAGCAGTTGCAAACCAAGAAACGGGGTGCTACGGAGTAGTTTACTGTAGGAGGTTGTACGAGAGGCGATAACAACTGACATGCATTGTGACGTTGGTTACCAAGGCGACAGACCAGAATGGTGTAGTGACGTCAATACAGTGTGACATGCAAAAAATGTACAACAGAACAAAATTCTTCCGCAACCTCTTTATGAAACCGGTTTCAGTTTGAAACCATAACAATAACAAAAATACGCTATTTTGTCAATCTAATGCATGAAAGACGTGGCTTTCGCTCGGTGAGACACCACAGGAAGGACACTCGTTTCGTATAATTCGTATGTAATGAGACCTCGTGTAGTATTCTCTATATATGTTATATTTGGGATTACACTTTCTTAGTAAAGTACAAATTCTAGTACTTTTTGGGGTTGAGTCCCATCTGGGATTCGAACCCACACCCTCAGTCAGGCACCAAATTGCCAGCACACAGGAGTATTTCACTCCTCAAAATTAAAATTAATGAGTAAAATACCGAATGGAAATAAAAAGAGGAGTATTTCACAGGCTGCATGGTTTTATTACTTTTCCTTGCTAATTATACCCCGCTACGAAGTAACGGGGGTATATAGCGTTCATTCTGTCCGTCAGTCCGTCCATCCATCCATCCCGAAACTTTGTCCGGGAGCACATCTCTTAAAGTTTACATGCTAGGTTCACCATACTTCACACACATGTTAATCATTACCCATTGATGTGCCTTTTGCTATTTTAAAGTGTTTTCCGAATTTGTTTTGTTGTTGTTTCCATGAAAACATGACTTGGTGCAAAATGTGTTTGATGGTTACCTGGCCACAGCATATCATCGAAACTATACATGCTAGGTTCAATAAACTTAATACACAAGTTAATCATGACCCACAGATATGCCATGTGCTAAAAAATAACAATCTTCATCTACGTCCACTTCCTTGTGTGCAACAAGTTCAATTGTATGTCAGGTTTCCACGGAAAACACAAAAAAATAATGTTTCCATAAATGATTACTGTAATCAGTACATGGCAAAACTATTATCTAACATGTATATAAATTTTAGAGTCCAGGAGAAAGTCGTGTGAGCTGCTGATCCTTGTCACAATATAAATATCAATATCAGTCATTTCCATGTCCCAAAGTGGGAAGCGGGGGTATGTGAGCTGTGCTCACTTCTACACTTGTTGAAACAGTTTTCCTTTCAAAAACTCTACAAGTTTCTGTTGCTTAGTCACCCTTCCTGCAGATGACAGGAAATAAATGACAGTGCACATTGAGCTATTGCACATTAAATGTTTTCCTACTCTGGTTTAGGGCCATCACGTTATTTAAAGTAGCCCTAAAGCTGTATTATTACTGATACGGACCGGAAACGTGATAGTAATGCTGTTTAAGGGCCAGCTTTTAAACAAATTGTGATCTGAACATGGATTAGAAATATCAAAGGAGATCAAACGTAAAAACTCAACAATCTTTGCTTCAATACAGACACCCAACACTATTCGAGACCTTAAGATCGGATGTGTAGAACTGAAACAATATTTTGACAGGTTTGGTTCACACATGTGAACAAAACCTGTCTCGTATTCTGAGAAAGTTGTGCGTATTCTTCATGCATTGCTCTGACTTTTTATGCGTATCTATCTGAATTACCAATGCATAATTTTCACAGATACACATGTTATTTGGAGCCCTGTTATGTTATAAGTCTTATGTACAACTGGAAACAGGTAATATACAACGACTGCTGTGTTTTCAGGCGTATCCAAGTTTGGTGTGAAATGGGAAGGAGGACGTACTCTGATGCCTATCAGTTTCCTGAAGATGCTGAAATAGTTCCATCATCTGTGGATGTGCCAGAGAAAGAGGTATGAGTATTATCTGTGTACAACACAGTTAGGTTTTATGCCACTTTTTGCAATATTCCAGCAATATCATGGCAGAGGACGCCAGTAATGGGTTTCACATATTCTATCATTGTGGGCAATCGGACAGGGTTCTTTCGTAAGACATGTGAACATTTAACCACTAGGTCACCCCACCGCCCTGACAAATTATAGATCTATACTAAACTGTTTTAGGTTACTATGGTATAAATACACTCATTTACTTATGGAATATTGGAGATCGGTTTTGCTCCGACAAAGATGGAGGACTCGACCGCTTCCGTGGTGTAGTGGTTAGAGTGTCTGCCCGAGAGCGGAAGGTTACCAAAAGACGTTAAAATATGGTATTTGTTGATCCCTGCCTGGCGCTCGGCATTAATGGGTACATCAAGGACTGGTCAGCTCAGAGTCAGTATAATGTGTCTGAGTGGGGTATTCATGCTTCACTGCGGCATGGTATCTCAGTGAGCTAGCACTATAAAACCAGCTTAAGTCTGGGCTAGTACAAGCAGCCGCACATACACATACACACGCATGCGCATCGTCATATGAGCGAAATATTCTTAAGTGTGGTGTTAAACCCTATTACACCTCACCTCTCAGCAGGACTCAATGCAACACAATTTCATCCATTGTTTAAGGAGTATGTTGGCTGTATTTGGATATTTGTATCATCCAGTAAATATACAGTTTTTCTCCTATATTCTTCTTGGTGATTTTAACTTCGGTCGGTTGCAACTGTAGACTGAACCAGAAACGTCTCTGTAGCAATGTTTACAGAGACTTCTTCTTAGCACTTTTACATGCTGTCACTCCATCCATTTCTCACAATTGGTCCTGGATTCGAAACTCGATTTCCCAAATCTTTAGAATGATTTAGCTCAGAGGCCCAGATAAGCTGCCTATCCGGGTAAAATACGCATAGAAAATTTCCAAGTACGCATTGAAAAATAATTGTTGCGTATTAATTCCGCATTGAAAATGTCAGAAACGCAAAAAGTTTAAAACAAATGCATACGGAATATATTTATAAAAATCGCTTGCGTAATGAAAAAGACATGGATTGCTATCAAGTTGTACTGTTAGTATAGGACTAGTGTTGTACTGTTAGTATAGGATGAGGGAGTTTTTTATAAAATCATTTCCATTATATTTAAGTTGGTTTTGATTAGGTATGACATAAGGCAGAACATACCTGCTTAGTAAACTTACTCAATGACATAATACTTAGGTGAGTAAAATGACTGAAATACGCACATATTTGAAAGCAGTGGGTAACGGAAAATGAAATACCCACTCAACATTCATAATACCCACTCCAACAGAATACAGTGGGTACAGTACCCACATGAGCTAAATCTTATCTGGAGCTCTGATTTAGCTAGAATCATGTTGATCTTTCTTGGTTTCATTCAAGTCAAGACCTACTCACACTCTTTATAAATTGATGCGGGTTTGAACCAGACAATCCAGAGATCAACAGCATGAGCATCGATCTGCACAATTGCGATACCATGACATGTGTCAACGAAGTCAGCGAGTCTGACCACCCGATCCCGTTAGTTGCCTCTTACGACAGGCATGGGTGACTGAAGACATATTCTAACCCGGATCTTCACGGGTCCTGTATAACACGATGTGCCAGTACTGTTTGATGCCTGTGGGTTTCACACTGTGTCCCTTGCATCTCGGGTGCCCACCGTGCTCACCGAGCTCACCGTGCCCCTGCATTGAGACAGCCCTGTTTGTGACCGCATTAATTTACATCAATATCGTATACAGATATAAAATTCACCCACTGTTTTTGTAGATTGTTTATGGCTTTAATGACTTGATGAAAAAATATTATTGTCATTTTTTATGTCCGGTGTTCACAAAATGATGGGGGGGGGGGATGTAGGTTTGAGTTTCATCCGTCAGGGGTGATGGGGGCAGATTTTCTCAAACGTTATAGGTATGGAAACCAAATTTGATATGTGTTTTCAGGACATGAATGTTGTGGTGGAGTAAAAAACAGGAACCAAATACGAATAGAACACTGTGGCAAAGGATATTGATGACCATGTCTTCTTGTATTTACAGAGGAGTAAAGGAAAGTTCAAGGTGTTCTTCAAGAAGAAAACCGACTTTCAGCTGCGAGATATCTGGAAACAGTAATAGGGCTGAAGCATGATACTGTATCATCTTGTTCATCTCTTACTCATCTCATACATGACACACTGTTCATCGCTTATGTCATGTTTTCTGTAAACAAAGAAGGGCTTCAAAGATCTCCAGTTGGCAATAATGCTTTGGTTCGTGTCATTTTGTTAAATATTTATTTTTAGATTCGTGTGTAATTGTGTTCACAAAGTGTAATCTGAAAGGTTGTAATATACAAGGATCCTGTTTATGATTTACTTGTAAAGTTATCAGTGATAATAATCAGGGCTCGATTTAATGCTTTGTTACTTGCACTGGTGCAACCCAATATTACGAAGTGCAACCTAATTATTAGTATTATAAGCATAGTTATGTCAGCTCATTTTTCTCATCAACTTTGAATAATTGAATAGCTTATTTCTTTCATTACATATTGCAATAAAAGCAGTGCAACCGGAATTTAGCTGGTGCAACTAAGTTTTTATCTTAGGTTGCACCTGGTGCAAGAAGTTTACCATCTCTTAAATCGAGCCCTGTAATAAAGACAACAAAATTGTGCCACCTTCACATTGAGGATCAGTCTTCAGTTATGAAGTCTCCAAGAAATGGCCACTCTCAGATAGACTAGTCAGGCTGTAGTGTTTTACTGTTGCATTAGTGGTATGTATCCTGCAGCAATGTCAGACTGTAGTGAGTGAGTGAGTTTAGTTTTACGCTGCTTTTAGTAATATTCCAGCAATATCATTGTGGTGGACCCCAGAAATCGGCTTAACACATTGTACCCATTTGGGGAATCGAACCAGGATCTTCGACGTACGCAGTGAACGCTTTGACCACTAGGCTAACACACACACACACACCCACCCCCACCCCCACCCCCACCCCCACCCCCTCAACACTGTAGGAATCGGTGTGATGCAAGTTGCTGTGCTGAAGAGCATTTGTTAGCTTCACCAGGCTACCAAGATCATAGGTTCCAATCCCAGGTTTGCCAGTGTTGTCTTGTCAGCTGTAAACCTTGGCTTGAGGGCATAGTCAAGTGGTAAACGAAGACCTGTGTTGTTGTGTTCTTTCTTCCCACACCAAGTAGACACATGATCACACTTAAATACTCCACAAAACTGTTTTAAAACTAACTTGTTCTCACAGCTGTATTGGTGCGTAGATTTTCAGTTCACTCAGTGAAAAAGCCGTGGTTGATGATCACCATCGCTTAGAAGCCTTTAGTTCGTAATGCTTTTGAACATGGGTTTTGCAGAGTTATGTCCCTTGGGCCTGCCAGGGTCTGATTATTGGTATCCTCAATATTTGAGCACCACCACTGTGGGTTTCACCAAAGAGCTAAACTTGTTAAGTGTGTATTAACTGATGTTACTGAAATACTGTGTAGAGCAGTTTTTGAATGCGTCTCACTCACAAACTCAGTACCAGCTATGCAAATTTTGTGACCCCCCCCCCCCCCCCCATGCTAGCACCCTCTATCATCAGGCTGTATCTGGGATTCTGATTGAGGGTGCTTTAGGAGAGCCTAGTGGTTGACCGTTGAAACGTTTGCTTGTTTGAGTGTCTGTGTTTGATTCTCAACATGAGTGAAATGTGTGAAGCACATTTCTGGTTTCCCCCGCCATGATATTGCTGAAATATTGCTAAAAGAGATGTAAAGTCTACACTCACTCACTCATGAAATAAGGTTTCACTTGTCAACTTTGACTGAATTAAATATTGTGTACAATGTTGACATCTCCTCTTGAATGTTAAAGTTCCCACCAGTTTAGATGTACTTGTGTTCAAATCTGATTGCTCTACTTATTACAAATATTTTCTTCCATATCATATTGTTTAAGCAGTTGTTCCCTCCAAGCGAGACTTTAAACTGTTGTTTACCTCCATGTGAGACACTGTTTAAACTGTTGTTTACCTCCAATCAAGACACTGTTTAAACTGTTGTTTACCTCCATGTGAGACACTGTTTAAACTGTAGTCTACCTCCAATCAAGACACTGTTTAAACTGTAGTCTACCTCCAATCAAGACACTGTTTAAACTGTTGTTTACCTCCATGTTGTTTACCTCCATGTGAGACACTGTTTAAACTGTAGTCTACCTTCAATCAAGACACTGTTTAAACTGTTGTTTACCTCCATGTGAGACACTGTTTAAACTGTAGTCTACCTCCAATCAAGACACTGTTTAAACTGTAGTCTACCTCCAATCAAGACACTGTTTAAACTGTTGTTTACCTCCATCTGTTTAAACTTTAAACTGTAGTCTACCTTCAATCAAGACCATGTAGTCTACCTCCAATCAAGACACTGTTTAAACTGTAGTCTACCTTCAATCAAGACACTGTTTAAACTGTTGTTTACCTCCATGTGAGACACTGTTTAAACTGTAGTCTACCTTCAATCAAGACACTGTTTAAACTGTTGTTTACCTCCATGTGAGACACTGTTTAAACTGTTGTTTACCTTCAATCGAGACACTGTTTAAACTGTTGTTTCTCCATGCTTGAGACACTGTTTAAACTGTTGTTTACCTCCAAGCGAGACACTGTTTAAACTGTTGTTTACCTCCATGTTAGACACTGTTTAAACTGTTGTTTACCTCCATGTGAGACACTGTTTAAACTGTTGTTTACCTCCATGTGAGACACTGTTTAAACTGTAGTCTACCTTCAATCAAGACACTGTTTAAACTGTTGTTTCTCCACTAGAGACACTGTTTAAACGGTTGTTTCCTCCAAGCGAAACACTGTTTATACCTTTATAAAATTTATATGGATCTAACAAATCAAACTTTATACAGATCCTTAATTTTAGTTGTTATTTTACACTGTTTTACTCTGTTAAAACTTTTTAAATATCATTTGTCATGTGTATTATCACATAGGGTGGTGGGGTAGCCAAGTGGTTAAAGCATTCGCTCGTCTTTCAGAACGCCTGGGTTCAATTCCCCACATGGGTACAATGTGTGAAGCCCATTTCTGGTGTCCCCAGCCGTAATATTGTTGGACTATTGCTAAAAGCAATGTAAAACCATACTCACTCACTCACATATTAGTTGTGTTTGACTCCTCGATTGACCACTGCTTCACACTGAAGGCATGCATTCACCCACATGGGAAGGTCAGGTCAAACAGGTCCCTTGGTCTAAGGCTTGCTAGAGTCGACTAATAAAGACCAGTTGGCTGCAGCAAGTTGTTGTTCATACTCTCAACCACTTGTTTGGCGGGCACAGAATTCATTACTTACAGACCCATGAATATCCAAGTTAGAATTGGTCTTCAGTAACCCATGCTTGTAGTAGAAGGCGACTAACGGGATCGGGTGGTCAGGCTTGCTGACTTGGTTGACACATGTCATCACATCCCAATTGTGAAGATCGATGCTCATGCTGTTGATCACTGGAGTGTCTGGTCTAGATTTGATTACAGACCGCCACCGTATAGCTGGAATATTTCTGAGTGTGGCGTAAAACTGAACTCACTCATTCACTGACAGTCTCAAGAGATCTTGGAAGGTATGAAACTGTACTATGAAATGGAAGGGTTGTGCTTCTGGGATAAACTTGTGTTGTACCCGAGCACACATGCCACTGGAACATATATCCAGATCACAGTGATGGTGCCAATCATTTTACATTACATATGATTTATACTGATTATATTTTAACATCAGTAACCCATTTCTCAATATGTGAATATTGATACATTTGTACAAGCATGACTGTTTGCATGTGTGGTACCAGTATATTCAACTCTCAGTGCTCAACTTTGGTTGTGTTCTCCTCAGGGAGTTGAGATTGCAGTTTGAACATGCACTGATTTGTTCTAGTTATGTAATGGTGTCATGAGCTACCTACTATTGTTATTATCATTATTATTATAGTACACAGGATGTATGGACTGGAGGCTGATAGATTGCCCATATGGTGCCAAGCAACATTACTTTTTATTACAGTATCATGTGTTTTTAGCACCACCTTCTGTGAGTCTTGCTCTAAATAATGTGGTCAGTCATATCTATTTTTATTCATTATGCATGATATATGGACTGGCTGCAAGGTCTATGTACTGTGTCAGACAATATTCGCTTATATATGAATTTTATATTTGGAAACTTTAGTTATTGTGAAGCATCTGTTTAGCAGTTTCAACATGGATGTCAGTGGCAGCCCGTTGATGGTTAAAGTGTTGACTTGTCACGCCGAAGACCTGGGTTCCATTCCCCACATGGGTACAATGTGTATAGCTCATATCTGGTGCCCCAAATGTAATATTTTAAAATTCCTGCCTGCCCGACCATCCGGAACTGTCTTTTTTCATCTCGGAGGGTCAAATTTCAAAAGTAGCCTGTCGGGTGGTCTGGTAGATATTTTTACCCCTAAGAGTAAATATTTCATAATATCAGACAGGTTCTCTTGTCATCATTTTGGGGTGTTTAAGGTATGATGATAATTATGTTAAACTACTTTTGATTGGACAGTTCATGTTATGATAACCAATCACAACACATGTACTTTCAGTTTACCTAAACTCGGTTTAGTTCATTGTGATGTCTGCAAACAGTGAATGGAGCTTGCGCGAGTTGGAAATGGCAGTCACAGTTTTTATTGTTGAAAACCGGACAGGCAAGTCTGTATCCGGACTGGTAATCTTTTAAAGTTACCAGTCCGGCTGTCTGGCTTGGAATTTTAGGAGTTTTAAACACTGCTCGCACACACTCTTACATCTTGCTATGGAAGTGTAGTAATCTCGAATGCAGTGTCAAACCCCACCCCACCTCACCTCACCTCCAGCAAGGGTGAAACCATGTATTACCACATATTTACCAGTCTTGAATACAATGGTTTTTGAGCTCTTTGATGCTAGGATTGCTTGAAGACCAGTGGGGCTAAGTTGGTTGATTACAGTATTTAGCATACATTTTCATGTTGAGTGGTTACTGTAAGTACATGTACTTGCTTATGAGTAGAGCGGTAGCGGCAGTGTCCGGACACGGGCAGTACTCGGACACTCGTTAAACATATATTTATAGCTAATTAGGTTAAGCGTTAATGCGCAACATATATGCACATAAATATTCCTCTTCCGCCCTGCGTCACAAAAAATCGTCTGCTAGAGGTAACACCCATGTGCAAAGCGTCCAAAATCTGCCTTCCTAATTGATTGCCACGCCCCCTGATAGTCTTACATAAGCAACACACCGTTTCCGGTTTTAAGATCATGTACTACTTACAACTTGTTTTAGATGAAATCTAACTGACATAAGATTTCTAGTGAATGCATGCAGCCGGCTTCGAAGTACTATGGCGCCAAATTCTAAAAATGGCCTGTTTTGTGCCCTGTCCGGCTACTGCCTCAGTGTTTTGCCGGAAAGGCGTATCTTGCAAGATGTTGTTGAAAGTTTAAAGAGTGCAGGATTTGATGGGGACAGTGTTTGGTGTTAATTACTACTGACTAGAATGTATTGCTAGATCTTTTGCGTGTAAATTGCATGTTTTTTTAAAAAAATGTTGAGTGTCCGGGTACTGTCGCACAACTGTCCGGATTAAGCCGACAGTGTCCGGTTACTACCGAATCAGTCGTTAACCAAGTAGTATGAATCTCAGTCAGACTAAGGCGTTTACAGAGTTTATGTAGATTTCTTTATACACAGCAGTTGTCTCCCTTCACATCTTATAAGTCTAGTGCAAATAGATGGGTATCGCTGTGAGTTGTTCAGTTTTCACTGTTATGTGTCCGGCTACTGCCGCTACCGCTCTAGTTTTGGTATAACAGACCACACCACCTTGTTCGGTATTATTGTAACATATTTTGCATACTTTGTATGAGTTTTGCAGGAAATAAAGGTCGCTGACAATGCATTTGGTTTGTTAGATAAGTTTGTTATAGTTGGGAGGCCATAGGCCCATGGGAAATAATGATCAGAGCAACGATTGTAGACTTTATGGTGGTGAAGAGATACTCATCCACAACCTCTTGATACTTAATCGGGGCGGTGGGGTAGCCTAGTGGTTAAAGCGTTGGCTCGTCACGCCGGAAGATCCGGGTTCGATTCCCCACATGGGCACAATGTGTTAAGCTCATTTTTGGTGTCCCCCGCCGTGATATTGCTGGAATATTGCTAAAAGCGTCGTAAAACTAAACTCAGTCAGTGATACTTAATCTTAAATCTCTAGTAAGTTTATGTGTGACAATTTATGTCATTAATCAGCTTACACTGTTTCTGAACTGTGACAAGATATTCCACATGTCCTTCGATTGACTTTGAAAAACCTGTGGAGATCTGGGTTAGAATTGGTCATCACCAACCCATGATTGTTGTTAAGGGCGACCGACGGGATCCGGTGGTCAGACTTGCTGACGTTGTTCATGTATGTCGTCGTATCCCTATTGCGTAGATCTTTGCTAGTGATGTCAGTAAATGGATTGTCTGGCCCATTCTGATTCCATTACTCAGATACTGACATTGTTTAGTTGGAAAATTGCTGAGTGTGGTGATGCAGACATGGACATTTTCTTCGGATTTCTGGGCTTTTGGTTTCATTTTGAACGTTTTTGAGATCGAGGTAAATCTGCAATAAAAGACCTCCCAAGACCACCGGCTAAAGTTTCAGTGTTTTTTTTGCTTTGCTATTCTCATGTCTTGGTGTTGAAAACAATCAACCAACCAACCAAACCATCTGTTATCCACCATGGGTATGTCTTGTCCAGTACGACACATAAGTGGTCAGAAATTCAGAATCGTCCATGGATACAGAGTTGGATGCCTTTTGCGTGCCAGGATCCAGTGTTCTCTGGGTTAACTATCGCAATCGCCACAAGCATTATTCTTGTTTGTCAGTGGCGACTTGACAATCACATTCATTGGAGTCCTTTGGGATTCGAGAATGGAAGTGGTCAAAGGGTTTGCTCGTCACTCCGAAGTTCACAACCGTAAGTTCGACACAACCGTATCAGTTATTTCACGTGTCAGGTATGTGTGGGAGGCAGTGATGGAGGTCTCAGACGTTGATGACCCTTGAA